ACTTTGCTTTTATTCGTGATGAATAGGTTTTAAACCAATGCTAGATATACTAGTTGTTCTTACTAACTTTGTTTGGCCGATCTGGGACTTCTCATTTCTCAATCGATGCATTTAGGGTACACTAGGCTTGAACTTGATTAATGACCTAGCTTATAGTCAGTTTTCCCCCAATGTCATTTTATTTTTTTGATGAATAAGTAGGCCGTAACTTGTTTTTATTCGATACGAAGAGTAACTGGGTTTCGATGAAACTCTTGAGATGACATTGTTGGGGATTTTTATTTCGTATGAAAGTGCATGAAGAGATTCGTAGACTGGTCTCACCAAAAGACGAGGACTGAATCTCATTATACTGCAGTCCTTTGGTTTTAATATGACCTTGAAGTTGACGCAATCCACGAGACGTCCTCCATCGCTTCGGATGAAGACGGGCTGAACTTTGTTCCATCATATGATCTACATCCTCAGAGCTGAAATTCACGGCATTCTTGCCAGTCTAACTCCAGCCTTCTATGGAGTGAACCAGACTCCTCTCCTTCACACCAAGACGGGGCAACTTAAGCATCCCGCAAAGAATTTGAATGAACGAACTTTTGACTGGATCAACTGCGCTTTCTCTTCAGCTTGCTTGACCAGACCTTTCTCTGAATGAGGTCATCGCGCGCAGCTTGGCTGGTCACTTCTCCCTACTCCACCCACCGTACTCGCACCATGCTAGAGCCGTTCGTTTCCCAGTAGGACCGCCCGCATTCAAAGTCAAACTCAAATTCTTTCAGAGGCCAGTTCACTAAGTCTGTGTTTATGACAGCAGCTAAATGACTTTGCCGGACCGACTTTGGATTAACGTTGCATCTCCGCCTTACACGCCCTGGCATCATTTGATTGTAGTGTCTATCGCACAGCTACACTAAGCAGCTCAGCTTCTCATCTGCCTAGTTTTTGCAATTGTCTCTTGTTCATCCCTCCATACTTCACATATTGCTGCTATAATTACACAGCATAGCTATGGATGTCTTTTAGGCCTACATAACCCCTAAAATGCATCGCTTCGTCTTATAAGTCGGTCTCAGATCAGGTCTCATCTATCTTTTATAGGAGTCGGATCAAGGTTTGTCTAAAATCCAGTGAGGAAATAGGAGATAATTAGTTTGAATCGAATATTATCTCAATGGAATACAATAAAATACAATGTGATATTTTCAACGATTCCCTTTCAATTTTTTCAAAATATTCAAGTAGCTTATTACTGAATAGGCTCTCTAAGGCAGGTGAAATTTCGGAAGCTGCTTTGGATGCTTCTTATACTTTTTCCCATACCACTATAGTGATTCGCTAAGCGCAGGCGTTATAATTAATAAGCATTATCAGCGAACTAACACAAGCTGAAGTTCTTAACTTCACCATTTACGAAGAATTGTATTTAATTAGCTTCTCAATAGTTACGCTTTGAGGCAACATAAGTCTTTTACTGGATATTAAAGAATAGATGATTGTATCTTGATTTAATGAGTATTACTTGAAACTTAAATCTAAAACATCTCAATATCGTAGAAACTACACAAGATGGTTAAGCTGCTTTTTGTTTTCTTAAAACGTTATCTCTACAATGAGTAATATTAACTTTTGATTAATTCTACAGGCTGATACTCGACTTTAAACTTACTCTACTTATTCCTTTATCTAAATCCAAGCTTCTCAGCTAAAGCAAGCGATGCAGCCCGCCTCAGCAAGTTTAATCGCTCTTTCACGCATGACTGCCAGCATGAAAAAATTGTCTGAGACGTCTTCTCTGTCCGCCAGGCCACCCGCGCCACATCGCCAGCTTACATCGTCGACAAATTTAAGCTCCAATGAAATCGCTTTCTATTTGGACAATTTTTCTCCGGATTCTGATCGCAAAGGCGAAATGGGTTAACGTAGTCTTGCACACCTAGTTTTCGCTCAAGTCGGAGAATCCACTGAGGGGAATTTAATTCCAGAACTAGTGGTACCATCGTCATTCGATATCAGTAAAAGTGGTTGTGGTGATGGTCGTGCACCCGTTGGTGGAGGCCACTGATAAGTCATCAGCAGTGGAGCATAAATTCCCTTTGCACATTTTCTTTCCCTCTGAAAAATTAAATTTTTGTGAGCCATGAACCTTGTCAATCTAATAATGACATACTGTCTCCCTGATTCTTCGGGTTCAGAATTTTCTCGTCTCGCAACTTGCTTCTCTAAAGATTATTCCGTTATCTACTTTCATAATTTATACATCTGTGATACCAATGTCAATATTGATCCGAATATTAGACAAAAGCAAAAGCGCGTACCAATTACAGAACGAGAGAATGGAGGTTACGACCATAAAAAGTTTAGAAGACGCAATATAAAAAAGTATCTCATTGTTAGCAAAGTGGATGGTTTAAAAAAATCAGATTCGATATACATTCATACGCGCCGTTTCTTAACCTGCAAAAAAAATTGTTTAATGTAATATCAACGAATGGTTTTTCTTTTTCATACAAATATATTTAGTATCAACTCGTGACTAGTCGAGCGAGAAGTTATTTGGTATAATCATGGTTTCATACATTCGAGGCTCATTTAATTTATCAGAAGAATGGTGTTTATGCTTTACATTTTTTATGACGTTTTCATGAAATCCTGATTAATTTTAGCTGAGCTTAAAGAAAAGTCCACTGTAGAAATCAATGGTTGGGCCTCCAATTACATATTTACCTTGGAGGAACATACTAAAACTAATTTGATTCATTCGAAACAATATTTAGCCTGTCTATTTTACTATTATTGTTTTTCGTAAGCGATAATTCCCGACTCCCATAAACAATCGAATCGAAGAACTAATAAATATAACCGCTGCAACAAATATTTTATAAAATACTTGCGCGACATACAAAACACTCAGATTACTATATTTACAAATTTACTGAAAGCAGTTTTAAGTCAATCTTGCATGCATGATATTCATTTTACTTACAATTCGACAGTATTTCGTGTTGCATATGAAGACCAAGATGTAATCTTGGGTTTAGTCGCAATCTCGTTTACTTGTATAATTTTGGTCTGAGCCCGTTTCCGAAACGTGGTAAGGAGAAAAGGAAAATCTTGTAGAGCGTCCTTCGTCTAATTTTATAATTTAAAATATCGGAC